GAGGAAGGGAGGGAGGAGGAGGAAGGGGAGGGGGAGGAAGAGGAAGAGGAGAAAGGGAGGGGGGAGGAGGGGGGGGAGGAGGAGGGGGGGGGGGAGAGGGGTAGGAAGGAGGGGGGGAAGGAGAAGGAGGACTGTGGGGTCCTTGGTGCTCTCTGAGCCTGGTTGTTTTCTTGCAGACCATTCACTACCCAACTAGGGAACCTCATCAGTGTTAGGAGGGAGTGGGGAGGAGGAAGATGGGGTGCTTGGCAGGGTGGGTGTTGAGAAGGAGGACTGTAGGTCCTTGGTGGTCTAGGAGCTTGGGTTGTTTTCTTGGGGATGGTTCGTTACCAAACTAGGTAACATCATCAGTGTTGGAAGGACATAATGTATGTGGAGTGGAGGAGAAATGGAAGAGCAGGAGGAGGAGGAGGACTGGGGGGTCCTTGGTGCTCTCTGAGTTTGGTTGTTTTCTTGCAGACATTTCATTACCCAAACTAGGTAACATCATCAGTGGTAGAAGGGAGAGGGGTTTGTTCTCTGTTTATGTACAACATGGCTTGCCATGTTGGTGAGCAACACCTCCCTCTTCCTTCCAGCACTGATGATGTTATCTAGTTTGGTAATGAAACATCTCCAAGAAAACAACCCATGTTCCTAGACCACCAAGGATCCACAGTCCTTCTCCTCAACTCCCCCTGCCTTCCAGGACTGATGAAGTTCCCTAGTTGGGTAATGAAAGGTCTGCAAGAAAACAACCAAGCCCAGAAAGCACCAAGGATCCTATAGTCATTGTCCTTCTCCTGCTTCCCGCCCCTCTCCTAGCACTGATGAGGTCACCTAATTTAAGTATATTTTATTATTAGTTAATTATTAGAAAGCACAAAAGACTGGGCAATGAAAGGTTTGCAAGAAAGTCACCAAGCTTAGAGAGCACCAAGGGTCCTATAGTAGTAGTCCTCGTTGTCGTCCTCCTCCTCCTCCTCCTCCTCCAGCATTGATGAGGTCACCTAGTTGGGTAATGAACCATCTAGAAGAAATCCGCCAAGCTCAGAGAATACCAAGGGCCCCACAGTTCAACCATGAGCTACAAAAATTGTCCTCTGTCAGAGAGAGCAGCTTGGCTAAAAACTCACCTTCTGTCTAGGCAGTATGTGGTTAGCTCTTTTGTTTCTCCCCAAGAGCATCTTCCCCTCTTTTTCTTTAATTTGGGGCAACCTCGTTCCTGGAATTGCTTTCTGGGAACTCCTCCCCTACCCTCCTCTTTCCCCTGCAAAAGCCATCCCCAGATAGGGGTGGGGTTCAAAAATAAATGAGGCTGCTCCTGCTTGGTTGGGACTGCATGGTCCTCCCTCCTTAAGACTCCCCAAAGGAAAGCATCCGTCCTCTTTCCTTTTCCATTCACCTATTTCCCTTGAGAAGATCTTTTGTCCTACTTGGGGATATTTAAGAGGGAGCACTCTGTGAGCAGGTTCTCCTGATGCTCTCCTTTTTCTCTTTGCAACATCTGACTTTTTTTCATTTGAGAACACAGACCTGGCCACCATTTTCCCTAAGTGCAGGGGGGAAGGTGTCTATGTAGCAGCTTCTGGTGATAAGATAGACTCTCATATATTTCCCCCCTTTTTCTCCTTGTTGCAATGGCATTGCATACTTTCTTTTCCTCCTCAGCTCCATGCAGCTCCTGATGACTCGGGCTGTGAGGTCATCCAGTGAGACCAGGGAGGTTCTGTCGCTGTGGTTGTGTTTGACAGATGTGCTGGTAAGAATTTACTCTTTGGAATGGGTGAAGGTAACGGAGACTAGAATGCTGCCCTTTCAGTAGCTGTTACATTTGTTGGGGACAGGTTCTGTTGGATTGCAGTGGTTTGCTCAAAATAGGAATGAGAAATTCTGAAATGCAATAGTATGTTTTCAGTGTATTTTTTTTTTAGTTGGCCTTGTTAATCGATTTAACAAAAGGAGACTGTTTTGCAAAACTTGGGCTGGGCAATGTAAATTGTGTTGTTCAAAATTAGACCCATTTATAGTTTTGTCTTGATGTGAAAATGAGATTGTGAATTGTCTTTAAAAATACGTGGCAATAAGAGAATTTAGCATGTCTGGTGAGAGATGCTACAGTTTCATTCTCAGCAGTTTTCTTTTTTTAGAAAAACCCATTCCTTACAACATTGTTATTTTCTTTTGGATGGATGCATATTATCTGACTCTGATTATAGGGTTACTATAGTTTTTTTCCAACTCATTAAAAGCACATAAAACTCTCATGAAGAGTTTAGTGACTAGGAATTAGATTAGAAAGATTATTGGAAGGATACTTCTTCCTCCTTTGGTCTTTGAACCAAAATTATTCAGTATTATTTCTTGTATTGCTGCTTTCTATATATAGATATATATATATAGAGTGTGTGTAGACATACACACACACACACACACACACACACACACACACACTGTATTATGAGGGGATGAACTTTCCCCTCTATTTTGCCTTGTAAATGGGGCACACACTCAAATTATATTTTGAGTTTTAATGCAGGAGATGCTTAGGAATTTAAAAATTGGTTTTGTTTTGCAAGACTTGAAAATGTGAGCACAAGAATAGTTTTAAATTGCCAACAGTATTATTTGTATTAAATCCTACTTAGTATAGCTGCTTATAATACCTGCATTATTTTTGTTTTTCCTCATTTTTGGTGTACAGTATATAAAGTGGAATAATAAAATATTGATACTGCCCTTTTTATATCATTCTATGTATTTGCCTTATAATTAATCAAGAAAATTCTCTACACGTGCTCTTTCCAGTGTCACTATTCTCTCAATGAGCATTGAGCTGTAGTGAAGTCTAAAATATTCTCTGTTAAAGATACTTTCCCAAGCTATGATGTATGTAAATTTTATAATAATGTATTGGTTGCCTAATTCCTCAGACTGCAAAATATTTAGTTTCTGGCATTAAGCACTAAACTGCTGTCAGTCCCGGATTTCATTTTATTTCTTATCAAAACCTGAAGAAACAAATTTATGATTGATTAAATGGTGGGGGTGAGCCACATTTTTACAGTCTGTGTTTAATGTGAAGTGCTCAGTTTTTCTTCCTTCAATATTTAATCTTTCAAAACTATAGTGTTACAAACTGCCACCATATGGAACTGCAGTAATATATCTTTCAGATCTTTAATTTCTGAATCTTTCTTTTTGCATGGACTTAGGCAACACTTTTCTTTGAATTTTTGTTTTTAGATCAGTAATATTTAAGAAGGCAGAGTTGGGTGTACTGTTTACTAAATGACCTTGCCACACAAAAGCTTCTGTTGAAAGTGCTTCTATGTTGGCAGCTCCAGTTGGATTTGGGAAGATTATTTACTTTACAAGTTCTCATTATAAATGTCAACTTACACAGTAGGTGCAGATTAGCCATGTATCTCATAGCAGTCATTACAGCTACTGCTTGTACCGAAGAAGCATTGACCACGTCAAGATAGCCGGTGTAAATAAAACATACTATTCCTGCAGATAAATTGCTTTGAGATTCATTAAGGCATTCTTGCTGTGTCATCACACTGTATAGGAAAGCCGATAATTTACGTGTGTTCACCGTTTCTTTAATATCCACCTTCTGTGGTATCTTTTCCCAGCAAAATTCCTCAGGGGTTCCATGAAGATGGTCGTTCCTGGGAGCACCACCGTAATTCAGCCAGACCACAGTCTGGGAACGGAATTGAGCCGAAGCTCAGCAGACAACTCGGTGATGGGTCCTGATGCAGAATCAATGGCTGATCAGGTGGGCCCTGAGCTGGAAGAAGTGAGGAAACTGCAAGAGCTTGTGAGGCGGCTGGAGCTCCAGAACCAGCAGCTGAGAACTAGAAGCCTGCGAAGTGTGCCAGAGGCCAAAATGCTGAGCCAAGCTGATGCTGGAGTGGATAATTGCAATTCCAGGCTCAACGGCATGGAAATGAATAATAGCATCAACGTACTAATGGATAAGCAGGAATTGCAAATCGTGGCAGACCTGCATTCAGCCCTGAGTAAAATAAGGTCAGAAGCAGAGGAAAGTGGCGAGTTCTTTAAAAGGGATGTGGAGGAGACCACAATACAGTACAGTTGTGAGAACAGTTCCGACAAAGGGCCCTTCGGGGCAAAGTTTGTGAGCAGTACCCAGGTGCAGAACAGCGATGCTAACACAAACGTCGTCTCTCGTTGGGATTGCAACCCCACTATGTTGCTAGAAGATTTCGCCCCAGGGATTGAGCCGGCGTTGCAAATGAAGGAAGCAAACACCAGCGCGGAAGTCCTCTTGAATGAAACAACTCTGGATGAAGTGGAATTACTGGAGTTAGAGAACGGCAGCGATGAAGAGGACAGCTGGTATGTACTATATGAGACTACATATTGTAGCTCCAAAGGATTCATGCTAAGAGGGAATAAAGCTATAATCATAGTTTCCAGAGCATATTATTATTCTCTTTCTCTTCAGTCCACTGGCCCTCAAAAACATCACTGAGCGCAGCAGTGTGACAGGAAAATGGACAGTGTGAAAGAGAAGGGATTAATTTGTAAACCAAAAACCTGTGAGTCTAAAATGTTTAAGAGAAACAGAAAGGAAAACAGCTATGGGAAACCAGGAGGCCTATATTTCTTTTTAGAGTGCCGCTTTTCTCATAAGAGATTGCCTAATGGAGTGAAAATTATTGCCAAATATAGTTCCTTGAAGTATTTCTATTAGTATTACAGGTATTTGCATAATAGTTTGATCTGTACACATAGCAAAATGTAAGATGTAAGGTCACCTTAAGCAACAATACCTTAAGTAATTTCCTTAAGCTCGTTATTGAAGAAATAATTAGATTAGATGAAAGAGAGGACTGGATTATTAGATTTTTTCCCCCTGGGCAGTGGAAGATGCTTGCTAGAAGTTGGAAGGGGCCGAAGATTTTTAAAAAATGATTTTTTTAAAAAATGAATAAGCTCTGCTATAGGGATTCAAAATTATAGTAAACTCATATGAGATCATTCAGAGGATAAGTTGATAGGAATATTTTTGTTAAGATTGCAAGAATTTACCTGAGCAATGTATCTTGAAAAAAATTGAAGAGATATTACATTGTTATTACCCAATCATTGTTTTACAACAAACATTAAAATGTTTCTCCTGCCATTGATCATTATTTCCTTAGCCAAAACAATTATGTACCGGTTGACTTATATCAGTTCATTTAGTGACCATTAAAAGTTACAACAGCACTAAAGAAAGTGACTTATGCCATTTTTGACACTTAGGACTCATTGCAACATCATGTGATCAAAATTCGCGCGCTTGGCAACTGACTCAGCGTCCTGGGATCACATGATTACCTTTTGTAACCTTCTGACAAGTGTCTGGTTGTCCCAGAGGCGCTTTTTTTTTTTCAAGAGGCAACTGGACTTTCTGGTTTTTCTTTGAAGACGTTTCACTTCTCATCCAAGAAGCTTCTTCAGCTCTGACTGGATGGTGGGGAATGGAAGGATTTATACTCCTTCCTGACAAAGCTGGTCATTTGCATTCTTTGAGCAAATCTTCTGACAAGCGAAGTCAATAGAGAAGCCAGAAGATTCACTTCACTGCCCTTAACTGCAATGATTCACTTAACTGCTGTGGCAAGCAAGGTCATAAAGTGGGGCAAAACTCACTTAACAAATGTCTCATTTAACAACAGAAATTTTGGGCTCCGCTGTGGTCGTAAGTCAAGGACTACCTATATGTGAGAAAATGAAACAGATGTACAAGAAAGTACAGTAGGATAGATATCATTATCAGATGAACGATGAAATTTGAATCCATCTTAAAAATGGAAGTAATTTTGCCTGATCCCCAAATAGTTAAGAAAGGGGAAGACTTGTTACATTACTTTCTTTGCTGTAATGTCTGACATTTGTTGATAAAATACTGGAAGCAGAGCGATCCTGAAAGAATTGCTCTAATCAAACTGTCAAACTTTTTACCTTCCCACTTCAGGCTGTATGTTTCTCCAAGAAAACCACCAGCAGATAAAAAGGAGTCTCCCCTGAAGTGGTGTAGGCAGGTGTTGGATCACCCTAGTCCTGAGACTGAGGCAGCTTGCCGTACTCTCCTCAGCAGACTTGACCAAGGTAGGCCTACGGATTGTCTTGTAAGAAGCCTTAAATCAGGGGTGTCCAACCTTGGCAACTTTAAGACTTGT